CCTTCGGCTGGTCCCAGCCAGCATAAGCACTGCTGCTGCTAAGCCCGGAGCAGGTGATCTTGACAGTTCCTCCTGGGTTCGCTGACATTGAGGACGACTGAGTCAGCGCTGCCTGGACCAGGGAACCTGGAGAGGGAGAGGAGAGAGGGGAGAAGATGGGGGTCAGCCAGTGCCCCATGAGAACAGCCCTTCCCGGGCAGCGGGACAGAGATGGGCCCCCTGTGCCCAGAGGCCCCGGCCGGGCACAGTGAGTCTGGCCAGGGCACCTGAGACGTGGGCGAGCACCGCGAGGAGGAGAGGAGCCCAGGCCATGGCGTGATCCCACCAGCTCTGTGTCCCCACGCCGATGGAGCTCTTTTGTGGACCCCGACTCCCTTTTAAGCCCCTGCCCGCCCAGGGTACGGCCCCTCCATGCAAATCTGACCCCGCGCTCAGGACCGGATCCTGCCTGGCCTGCCCAGAGCACAGAGGGGCTGGGGCAGCACCAGCTGCAGACAGCTCTGGGCACGTGGAACGGGGCAGCAGCAACACCTTTCTGCCCCCCAGCCCCAGATGTTGGGAGATATCTGCCTATTCCTGCCCTCCTTCCCTTGAGTCCAGCTGCAGCCTTTCCCCCTGGCCAGCCCTTGTCCTGCCTGGTCATGGCCTTGGGTGAGCAGAGGAGACGGTGTCTGGCCCCATGCCTTCGAGCTCTGCCCCACAGCAGATGGGCAGATCTGCCCCCTCTGGATGGGCTCAGGCCTTTCACAGGCAATCCTCAGGGCACATCATGGTGCCTGTGGGACAGCCCCAGTGGGCAGGGTCCCTGGGCATGGAGCTGCAAGCTCCCCTGGCCTGCAGCCCTTGATAGACTGTCAGGTGCCCAGGCTTCCCACCAGCAGGGCTTTGCTCCCCCAAACTCCTCATCCCAAGGTTTGAAGGTGAAGCTTTGTCCTGGCCCCTTGGCCAGCAGCACGGTCCTGCCTATCTGTGATAGGGCCAAGGTTTCAGCAGGCTGAACTCCCCCACCATGATGCCGAGGAGTAGGGCAGAGACCTTGCTGCAGGCAGGTCCTGCCCAAGCACAGCCAGGCACCCCCCACCCACCCAGGCCAGCTGGGGTCCCCCAGCCTGCACCCAGCTGTACCGGCCACCCCACACCCATGGCACTACCTACGGCTCCTCAGCCCACACCTCACCCTGCCTAGGACTTGAACGTGCCCACAGCACAAGGGCCTCTGCAACAGCCCAGCGGTGCCACACTCCCTCCCTGCGGCTTGGCTCCAGCTGGAGCCCTGTGGCTGGAGGAGCTGTTGGACATTTCCATGCCAGTGCTCACACAGAGCCGTGCCAGCTGGACACCTCCAGGCCAGGGAGAAGTCTGCCAGCAGGCACAGCACCTCTTGGCAGCTCCAGGGGAAGACGAGAGGGTGGTGGGGAGCAGGTGTCAGTGATGAGGGGGGTCCTGGTGCAGTGAGGAACAGGGGCAGGAGCAGGGCTGCTGGCAGTCATTCCCTCCCCAGATGACAGGGGATGGGCACAGACCTGGGGCTCTAAGGGACAGCCGAGACGGGACACGAGGCACAGCCACCTACACCACAGGGCAGCAAGGGCAGGGCCATGGCAAGGACCTGCCCCACCATCAAACAGGGACAGCAGGGACTCCTAACTGCCTCTGTGATGGCAGGAGCTTTTTGTATAACTTCCCCATTGCTCCATGCCACCATTATAGCTGCTGTCATCGCCACCACAGTAATAGACAGCCTCGTCTTCGGCTTGGACCCCAGTGATGGTTAACGTGCCCGTGGTGCCGGACATGGATCCGGAGAATTGCGAAGGGATGCCCGAGGGTCTCTTGCTGTCCTTGTAGATCACAGTGATGGGGCCACTGCCAGGAACCTTCTGCTGGTACCAGCCAACATAGCTGCTGCTGCTAATCCTGGAGCAGGTAATCTGGACAGTTTGTCTTGGGTTCGCAGACACCGAGGGCGGCTGAGTCAGCGCTGCCTGGACCAGGGAACCTGGAGAGGGAGAGGAGAGAGGGGAGAAGACGGGGGTCAGCCGGTGCCCCAGGAGCACAGCCCTCCCCTGATGGGTGATGATGGGACAGCAGAGACTCCTAACTGATCCCTGTGAAGATGGGAGGTTTCTGTATCACTTCCCCGTTGCTCTGTGTCACTGTGGGTTCATAACTGCTGCTGTCGTGGCCACCAGAGTAATAGACAGCCTCGTCCTCAGCTTGGACCCCAGTGATGGTTAATGTGCCCGTAGAGCCGGACTGGGATCCGGAGAATCACGAAGGGATGCCCGAGGGTCTGTTGGTGTTGCAATAGGTCACAGTGACGGGGGCACTGCCAGGTACCTTCTGCTGGAACCAGCCATAGCTGTAGAGACCCACATGAGCAAGGGGCTGAGGCAGAAGATCTCCACGCCCAGCTGCGGTGCCTGAGGCTCCCCTGGGCTGGCAAACGCCCACACACCCAGCCCTGCGCACCCAGGGTGACTGCAATGCCAGAGGGCCCCAGCCAAGGCTCAGACTGGGGGAGCAGAAACAGGGCAAAGGTTTTCCCAGGCAGCTCCACAGGCTCCAGCTCCTAACACTGTCCCAGGCTCCTCTGCCCCTCACATGGATATTGAGCAGCAGGGACGAGCCCAGCCAGGGCCTCTCCAGCACCAGGGCACCATCACTGGGGACATAGTCACAGCCCTGAGACACAGGGCAGGTGGGGAAGGGCACCGGGAGGGAAAAGGGAAAACCCCAAAGCTGGCAAGCGGGCCCTGCCTGGCTGAGAGGAAGGAGGAGATAAAACCGACCTCTTCAACACTCAAAGTCTCACTTGCCTGTGGCTTGGTGTCAGCATGAGATCATCACTGCTGCTGTCTTCAATATCACAGTAATAGACAGCCTCGTCCTCGGCTTGGACCCCAGTGATGGTTAACGTGCCCGTGAAGCCAGACTGGAATCGTGAAGGGATGCCCGAGGGTCTCTTGTCATTAGCATAGATCACAGTGATGGGGCCACTGCCAGGTTCCTTCTGCTGGTACCAGCCATAGTAGCTGCCGCTGCTAATCCTGGAGCAGGTGATCTGGACAGTTCCACCCGGGTTCGCTGACGCCGAGGGCGGCTGAGTCAGCGCTGCCTGGACCAGGGAACCTGGAGAGGGAGAGGAGAGAGGGGAGAAGACGGGGGTCAGCCAGTGTCCCAGGAGCACAGCCCTCCTCGAGCAGCGTGACGGGGCCCCTGTGCCCAAAGGTCCCAATGGCACAGAGGGACCACAGCCCCCACACAGTGCGCAATGCCTGAGCCCTGGGGCCCTGGGAGGAGAGCTGGCAGGAGCAAGAGGACGTGGCCGCCAGCAGCATGAGGCAGTGGGGCAGGTGATAAGGCAATGCCATGCCTTTTGTAGGGACAGGCACAGCCCCAGGGTCACCTCCTGCAAGGCATGGTACAATCAGGAGGGCATTCACAGCCATGGCCATGCAGAGGGGACATGAACCTGTCTCAGCCCCACAGCCCTGCTCCGCCATGAGGGAGATGGGCAGAGAACCTCCATTTTTTAACTCTTCTATAGCTCACATCCACGTCTCTCTGCATCACTGTAACAGCATCACTGCTGCTGTCCCAGCTACCACAGTAATAGACAGCCTCGTCGTCGGCTTGGACCCCAGTGATGGTTAATGTGGCTGTGGAGCCGGACTTGGAGCCGGAGAATCGCGAAGGGATGTCCGAGGGTCTCTTGTTGTTATCATAGATCACAGTGACGGGGCCACTGCCAGGAACCTTCTGCTGGAACCAGCCGACAGCATTGCTGCTGCTAAGCCCGGAGCAGGTGATCCGGACGGTTTCTCCCAGGTTCACTGACACCAACGGCGGCTGAGTCAGCGCTGCCTGGACCAGGGAACCTGGAGAGGGAGAGGAGAGAGGGGAGAAGACGGGACTCGGCCCCAGGAGCACAGCCCTCCCTGGGCAGCGGGACAGGGAATGCCACAATCGGAGGAGAACAGACCCGGACATGGTCACAGGCACATTTGGGGAGTTGAGCCCAGCACAACGCATCCCAGCACAGAGGCAGCTCTGGCAGCAGCAGGAGGACAGGGTCGTCAGTAGCAAGAGGCAGTGGGGTGGCAGACAAGGCCACACTGTGAACTTTGTAGGCACAGGGACAATGGGCCCCAGCCACGGGGTCACCTCCAGTGCCCTGGGACACAAAAGGGAGGACATTCACAGCCATGGCTGTGCAGCG